ACCGTTACGTTAGTACGATACATATATACGTATAGTACACACACACACACACACACACACACACACACACACACACACACACACACACACACACACACAGTACCATACAACAGATGAATGTTTATCGGGCACATCCTCTGACCTTCATATTTATACTGTTAATTATTATGCATATTTGTACACCATACTCTACCCTGCTGTTTATATTTGACTACATCATGCACTATTATTCTGGGACTGCACTTTCTTTAAATGTATGTCAGCTTATATTTGTAAATACTATATGATAAAAAATATCTTGAATCTTGAAGCAAGGTAACTCCCTGTATTTAAATGTATATCTCATCTTATCTTATATCTTATTTCCCCCACAGACCCTGGGTCAGCAGCTACTTCAGGAAGTTCCCGATGCACATCTACTGCCTTCCTGTGCAGGCAGCCAATCAGAGAGGCCGCAGGAGGAGGAGATGAAAATATGTAGAGAATATTTGTTGTGTTTTTTTTTTACCTGGAAAATAAAAGTAATTCCCTCCCTGTCAATTATCTCTCATTTTGTTCCCCTCAAAGACACATCTCTATGTGAAAATCCAAGTTATAAACCTTAACGTGACAGATTTGATGCCATTTAAGTCATTCTTTTAGTGCTGTGGAGTCCAAACAGTATTTTCTGACAAATAGTCCCAAGAGTATTAGAACTTTTAGTAAAAGTTTACATATCTATATCTTCTAATAGAAAGATCTCCATAATATTTTTTCTGGAGGTTTTGATGCATCGTCTCAACAAGAACACATTATATCAATAATTAATTATTTTTCACATTTAAAATCTGTGTGTTTTTGATTTCGTTAGCTTGTAAGGCTACATTTTGAATTGTATGTATTTATTTGTATTTTTAATATCTTATTTTATTTATTAGCCATGGACCTTTGGTGTGAAAGTGTATCTAAATAAGATGTATTTATACACTCCAATTATTATTGTATTGTGTGATAATGTTAAGTCTATAGAAACTGCATAAGAACCAATATTGTATACAAAACAAATCTCATAGCTCTTTTCTGGTTAACAAAAGGACCAAAAAAGGAAGACATTTCTCACAGAGGGTTGCAGCAACTGTGTCTTCCAAGATCGTCCCTGAACGCAGCATCACGTTATTTACGTAACTACGTCACAGCCCTGCCCAGCCCTTCTTCTGTCTGCGTGCTCTGCTTTCACAGTCATCATGGTAAGCTTTTACTTTTATTTACTATATTTTACACCTTTAGACACATTTTACAAACCACCACTGAACACGAATAAGCAGCTAAAGTCATAGAGAGTTTGTTAAACAGCTTGAAAAAGTCCGTGTGTGTAGTTTTTAGATGATGTTTAGCTTCCCGTTAGCTGCCGGTGAGCACATGGAGGCTAATGAATAAGCTAACGGCTAAGCTAACATAAGCCTCTGATGACTTGCATTTTATTCTGTAAAATGTTTTAAAGCTGTCCTGTTTGCCAAGGCTAATACAACTTTAACTGTGTTGTTTTAGGGTGTTTTTTCAGTGACTGCTTATTGTTGCTCTGCCCAGATTTGCTATGTTAGCATGCTAGTCTAGGTTAGCTTGTCATGTTGCCTTTGTGGCTGTCAAGAGAACATGCAGTAGTGAATAAGAAACAGTGTAAATAATGTTTAATTAAATCTACATACAACGTACACTTATAACTGACTTTAATTGTAGCTTTACGGTCTTTAAATGTTTGTTTTTTATTTATTTGTTAACAATTTGGATGGAAGCTTCTAGGTGTTTCTAACGGTGCAGCGCTGCGTTCACTGGTGCTCGGAATAACGAGTTCTCCCATTAAAAAAGGGGGAAAAAGCCACGTTTATTCGCCACTTTTGCTAACATTCAAACTATTAAAGCTCAACAGAATATTGTTTATTTGTATACACATCTAAATATGGAGTAATGCAATGTTACTGTACTGTTTCTTTGTGTTCAAATCCTGTTTCTGGATGAAGTGTTGTGTCGCTGCAGAGGTGTGTCGCATCACTTTCTGCAGAAAAATGTCTGTTTGGTTCAAATTCTCACTGAGAAATCACACCACCATTTAGTATTGTATTAATCATATCATATAAAGTGGCTAATTGTGCATAAATTATATTTTCCCCCATTATTTTGAGTCAAATTACAAATGCATTGAAATTAAGAAAAGTAAAAAATACTATACAAAATTCAATATTTTACAAAAAGAAACGGTACATTAAGACAAATAACATATATTTTATTGATCCCAAATTGATATTGGTTGCAGCAGCATGTAAAACAAAGTATTGCACATTATTAGACATAAAAAAAAGATTAGAAAATAAACATCTCAAAATAAAAGAATGACAATAGAAAATTAAGATTAATACTTGTTTAAATTATTTATTCAGATAGTTTGTATTCAAGTTATTAACCACGTATGATTTAATTTGTAATGTTGTTGTATTGTGTTAAACTGTAGAGCTATGTCTATTAGTCAGTGGACTGCAAGTGAATCTGAAATAATTAAAGTGGTCATTTTGAGTCATTTTTTAAGAAGAAAACCCTAAAAAAAAATCTATGTATAACAACAATACATATTTAAAAAAAGTTCTATTTCCAAATCTATTCAGTAGTACATTATAAAAACAGATTTGGACATCCCTAACGTTGACTAAAATCCAGAAAACACAATTTTTCTGATTTTTGTTTTTATTTATTTCTGATTGTCTAGGCGTCCCTATCCATGGCCCCGATCAACATCTTCAAAAATGGAGCAGATGAAGAGAAAGCTGAGACCGCACGACTGGTGGGCTTTTATCTATTTATTCGACAAGCTAAAGAAGAAGACAAGCTTTTTAAAAAAATGTTATTAAATGGTTTGTTTTAATCTGTGTGTGTTTTCTCTGCAGTCGTCCTTCATCGGCGCCATCGCCATCGGAGATCTGGTGAAGAGCACCTTGGGTCCTAAGGGGATGGTACGTCTTTAAAAAAATCACTAAAACGGATTATAGTTTTATAAAATATGATATAATAACATTATAATTGTTATAGTATTTGATTATATTGATTTCCATGTGGAGTTTGGGTGATATTGAACTAGAAAAGTCAGTAAAATAAGCCAAAACGTCACAATTTTTAATCGTGTCTGTTTGAGGTTGATTTCATAAACGTCTGCCTCCATAAACTAACTTATATTTATATAATGTAATAATATGTTCTCCCTTCAGGATAAGATCCTGCTGGGTGGAGGGAAACAGGGTTTAGTCACGGTGACAAACGACGGAGCGACGATCCTGAAATCCATCGGCGTCGACAACCCCGCCGCTAAAGTCCTGGTTGGTGAGTAAAGATGTTTTTTGGGGTTAATTGACGTTTTTTTAAACTAATTAAGACATTTGGCTCCACGAAGTTGCATTTAGTTTTTAGGCTAAACTATTATCTGCATGTTAAATAATGAGAATAATCACAAATTTGTCGACTTAAAGGTGGGGTAGGTCAGTTTGAGAAACCGGCTCGAGATACACTTTTTGTTATATTCCATGGAACGCTCTTAACATCCTGATAGCAATGAATATCTGAAGTGCTTTGACAATAAATGAGGGCGGCACCGAATGGGAAATTCTTGGCCGAAACCGAAAATAGGAAACAGTTGGCCGAAAACCGAAAGGCCGAAAATGATTAATAGAAATATATATATATATATATAATGTATACATTTTTTACCAATGTTGTTGCTGCCTGATTATGGAAAAAGACATGATTATGGCAAAACTTAACTTCACTTCACTTCACTTCACTTCACTTCACTTCACTTAAATAATAATCACTATTATGGGTCCATAAAACATTTA